CCCAATGATCGTTTTAGCAGGTCCCATTTTTAATCCAACTTGGATGAGTTCATCCACACTCAACTCGAGGAAAGCTGAACCAGCGACCTTATTATTTTTAATTATATTGATGTCTTCATTGTCAAGATCCAACTCTTCTTTTTTGTCCTGTAAGAATTTAGTAACATCATTTCGCTTCCATTTATTAACTTCTTCAACTGATGGAAGTGGTGTATTGGACATGACTGTTTGTTTGAAATTAGAAAAATTTTTTTTGGTAGGAAATAACCTTTTTATAGTTTATACAAACACAGCCCTATGATGTCACACAACATATTAATTATCTTGATCGATTAGATAACAATAAGAAATACCACATAGATTTTCATGATTTTTTGTTCCACAAGGATTATTTTCTCACCTTTTTCTTGCTTTCTCTGATAAGAAGTAATACAAATGAAACTTAAAAAGGATATGAATGAGTAGAGTTCGTTATATTTAATCAGAAATAATATCAAAATTCATATGTTATGGAACTTGAAATCTCCACTATCTCCGAGATTGCCAAAATTTGTCTTATTTTTCATTCTACAAAAGCGATTGTCAGACTGGAAGGTTTAATTTCCCCCATAAATGATGAAATATATTCAGTTCTTGACACCCATGACTTAATAGATCTGCCTTACAAAGAAAGGATGCACAAAGTGCAGAGTCTCTGACTCATCTGGAAAATGGTTGGGATAATGTAATTACTAATCATGTATTTTTTTTCTTCTAGCAGGTTTAACAAATGAAACTATAAATAAACTGGATTTGTGATTTTAACCTTATCGATTTTTTTTTTGAAGGTGTGTATAATATCTACACAAATGTTACAAAGTTTCTTTTTATCCTTGAAAATGAAATTCTACTCACTATGGTTCTCCATATTTAGGAAAAACAAAATGGCCAATATTATTAGTCTCAATTGCCTTGTGATTCATACCGCCATTCCTGAAAGTATTTCTGTAGATAATAATATTGTGCTTGAGATTCCAACTAACAAACAAGTTGATATCCTAAGACCTATGATTAAGGAACAATTTCCATTTTGGTTTGAAAATATTATTCCTTACGAATTTGTTCTTCATAAGATTAATGTAGATCTAATTATAAACATCCACCAGCAAATTACAGCATATCAAGATGGGAATGGAGATGTTGGTAGGCCAATATATCCATATGAATTAATTTCTAAGCATTTTAATAGACAACCTCCCAATGAAAAAATTCATAT